CATCGTTACGTGACGCAGAGAGCTACGCTGATACGATGCGAAGTCGGAAAAATCGATTAAAGTGCATATGCCATCATCGATGGGAGCTTGCCATTGATTGGCCATATAAACCCAATTTTCTTACTTCGAAGTTTATGTGGTATCGATAAGTCTGCAATTAACGTGCCCAATCCAAATGTAATCAGATACGCTGCCAGAATTCAACGCAGTTTCTGATCCGGTATAAAATGCTGGCAGTTTCGATCACCGAAATGCAATTTATAAAAAGGTAATTTAAAAAAGTTTTCAGGTTGTAAATCAAAATAACTAAATCATTTATCCAGCTTCGTAGAAAATTATAAATAGCTTCATGTGGCCTGTGGAAATATGTCTAGCGTTTAAATTGCTAAAAGTTTGCTTTAAAATTATTAACTACAGAATTTCCGTCTCATATATTTCCCGTTCTTTTGGTATAATAGCATTTGAGTTTAAAAAATCCTTTAATTTCTGAAAAATTTAACTCTATAATTTGAAGACATTTAAGACTTTAACAAGAAATTATCTGAGTTTTGTTAATTATAAATCGAGTAATAAAAATTTTATCTTTCATTCGTTATTATTAACTGATAAGGTATTTTCTCCCTCTTTTCCGCATGCTTTCGGGGTGAAACAGTACTCGGTGCGTATTCCACAGGTCCAGGTTCGAGTCCCAGCGAGGGCATTGCTCATTTTTCATGCTTCCTGGTTCAAAAATTCTAAATGACTCTACAGTAGCTCCCGAACTAAAAGGTGGTGGATGATTATTTTTCACCATCAGGATTTGGTAAATGTGGAAAGGGAGTATATAACGTATTTTCTCCCTCCTTTCTTCATGCTTTTCTTCATTGCTTTCGTCGTGTAACGGTAGCACACTCGACACATATTCCAGAGGTCGAGATTCGAGACATGAAGAGAAAATTGCTCACTTTTTAATTCTTGCTTAAAAAAAACAAAAAAAAAAAACCTAATGTCTCTAAACTTTTATAGTAGCTTTACACCTTTCAAAATTAAGACACATGCACTTTCTAGTTTTTAAAATGCTAATTAAAAAAGTTATATAATAGTGTAGAGTCATATATTACGGTAAACCAAATATGGGGACTTGTGACAAAAACTGACAGATTGTCGTTCTCAAATTTGCATGGCTCAATGCATATATTTTCATTAAACATTCGAGTTTGAATTTTCAGAATTTTTTAATTTTGCCATAGATATGTGAAAAAAATCATCCTATTACAGTGAAGTGGTGCTGTGTAAATCACACTACATAGATAAATGTGCAGTTTAATGCGCAGGTAATTATTTTAATAAATAAAAACAATTCAGCATTTTTTTAAAAAATAGATTCATTGTTTATTACATTTCTAAATTATTCCAATAAACCAAAGACGTTTTAATTTTCTTAATATTCTGACGTCCACAAACTGTATCAGTGCTCTTAATACTATTTTAATCGATTTAAAATTATACTTTATAAAGAATAAAACAATGTCGACAGAGGAAAAAAAAGAAATTTTAATTTCAAATAACCTGATTATTTTGCAAGTAAAACTCAGTACATAGTTTAGACATTTTATTTATAAAAAGTGCAGATTGTTTTAGTTAAAAAAATTTAATTTTTATCCTCAGCAGCAAAGTTTGGGGAGAAATGCTTTGACACGATACATCTCATATACATGATACACAAACAGGTAATGCATGAAATCTATATAAAGTCACTTTGTTTTGATATTTCCAAATACATTTAGAAATTTAAATGCACCTATTTTTATCTTGATGGGCATAAATATCTGGAAACAATTTTAAATGTAACCTAATTTGAAAACAATGAAACACATTTTTAAACAAAATAAGTGACTTAATAATTCAGCTCTTCGGCTGTATTTAAATAAGTTCATGCAATACATTCAAATTAAGTTAATTTATGAAAATAAAATTTATACGGAAATTGGAAAATCCTAAGGCGTTTTGCCACAGTCTAAATCATTCAACTCGTTTATAAAACGTTATGAGAGATCTGAATTTGTCTCTCAGAGATTTATAATGAATTTTAATGTTGAAAAAGCCCATTTTGAGAAAAGCATGCATAAAAACTCATAACACAATCTTTAAAAATTGTAAAATAGGAAAAAATATAAAACACCTAACACAATTTTTTAAAAAAAACGATTTTTAGAATTAAAATTAGAGTTTCTACGCAAAAGCAAGCAATTCCGCCAGCGGGCTAGAAAGCAGATTTTTCGGTATACAAAACTGAAAGATTAGTTTTGGCCTCACTGCACAAAAAGAAACTGAAAGTACAGTAACTGACTTAATTGCCTATTATACTAAGAGTTCAAATGTAAACAAATGGCGGCTACGTTAAGCTTAGCAGCACTTAAATAACTTTTAAATTGTTGATAAATCTACAACTATCTCATGCAGACTAACTAAAGCATAACAAACTTAAGCGGAACATAAGAATACCATAATTCAATCCTTTTTTAAAACAAAAAAGGCACAATTTACCAACATATAAGATTAAAAAAAGACCGAGCTCACAGGGCCGAGTAACAGAGTGGGTACATATATATATACATATATATATATATGTATATATTATTTACTTTTGTATTTGTATTATATACAAAAGTATAACAGATATATAATATTTGCATACTTTTGATGCAGCCGATTGCAACCAAAAAGGGAGGTGCACTACATGTTATAGCAGTCCTTATGTACAAAATTTCAACGTTATGCGAGGTTATGCGAGGTACGTCTGTACGTACATGCGTATGTACAGACGCCACGAAATAAATCTCTCTGAACGAATTTTAGATGTATTTTTCAATCCGTTTTGGGAAAAAGAGTCCTTTACTCTGTCTGTATTTGCAGATGTTACGCAAAAATATCATTCAGACGCATTCGAGAGCGGTCAAAATTTTTATCGAAATGATACCCGAATTTTTGCAATTGCAGCATTTCCTTTATTTCGTACAAGGAAGTAACAAGGTCAGATTAACGCGTGGCGGCTTGATTCTGGTAACACTGCTTCGAAATGTTTGTTGGGTCTACTCTACGTGATGTCCATTGCATAACGTCGGCAGACACGCGACTAATATTGTTGCATAATATATACTGCCCGGGACATTAAATCTCGTAATTTAAAAGAATTCTAGTTTCGTTTGTATCTACGACAACTGTATTTACGTCAGCATTCTGTGTTTGACACACCGCTGTATGACGGCGGGCTGCAGTACAACCACAATGATAACCAGGACGGTGGCCACAAAGACGATACGCAGCTCTGGCTTCTGCTGGGGGTTGTGTACAGTTGCTCTTACTTTCCTTCTCAGCGTTGCTTAAACGGAAGCGAGAATGCAAATTCTGAAACCAATTTAAGTAGTAAAATTTGATATTTATTCCTTTTTAACGTGAAAATTCCGTCCATTCTTGAAATGCGTTTAACTTTATTTCCAAAATCAAATCAGATGCGTTTTAAGAATGAAAGTAAGGAAATGTTGACTAAGAAAAAACCACGTAATCTTTAAAAAACATAAGGTTTCCTTTTACCTGAAATGAAATCTGGAACAAGATTGCATTTCATCTTGCATAAGTTTGTTAAGTTATTGCTTTAAGGGATTTCAGTTACTAACCATCCTGTAAAACGGGTTTTCCCTGCATGATTAGAGCTATGGGGAAAAGACAACACATAGGCGAGTTTTAATCAACGAATGATCTGGTTATCATTTTCAGCCTCGTACATTATTTATGAATTATATTAAAACGCATTATTTAAATTTATGTTACGAAATACCAGAATTCTTCTAATATGTAATGTTAAGTATGTCAAATGCTTTAATGTATTTGCATGTATGAGAGACAAATCTCAGTTTACATTAATTGATTTGCTGAACGTTTTCGTGTATTCGTTCAGTTTTCGTTAATATAAATAATAAATACTGTTTAAAAATTAATCGTATTTAACATTTCGTGTAAGTTTATAATAGTAAAAAGTTTATTCTGGTATGGTTGATCATAAATTACCGTATTTACTCACGTATATTTCATCCTCGTATATTTCTTACCTTTGCTTTTTCAGCGTATGACTTAGAAAATTTAATTTATGGTTGAATAGTATATTTAATTATGGGAAAGCATGCGAGGGGTTTCTGAATAAGAGGAGGGATACCTTCGTGGAGGACTTTCTAAATTTATAGATGATTGAATCCAAACAATGCTGGACAAAGAGAGAAGCCCATCTTCTAAGTAAAACGAATAGTATTAAAAGTAATAAATGCAACTAAAATATAGAATACTATAGTACATCTATGTGCTATGTGCTTTAAAATTAAATTCTTCTTTGGTATTTTCCCTGAGAAATGATGCGCATCGTGTAATTTTTCTCTTGTAAGTTTCCAAAACACAAAATTATTCATAGGCAAATAAGCTTATGAGTAATTAGGGTTGATTTTTAATACATACAAGCCAATTTAATAATTGATAAAATTTGACTTCTATACATAGTATACATATGAAATTTAAAGGTTAGAAGTTTAGAAAACAAATAATTAGCTAATCTTAAGTACAAAATAATTTATTTCTAATGAGTTCGAAACATTAGTCTTAGAGATAAATTAAGCCTTTTATTTGTGTAGTAACTCAAAATTTCAATAATTCTTGTTATTTGTCTGAAAACTAAATTTTTTATTTGAGTGACGATCCCAGATTAATTAATTAATATCAAGTGCGTCGCAGTTGGTTTAGGTAATTAAGTATTTTCAATTTCAAACGGAGATAAATCAATAAATTTGCAGCGAAAACCTGTCTGTTTGAAACTCGATTAATTATACGCATTTCCCTTTCTGGTCTATCTGTTCCTAGCCCACTGAAGATATAACCGTATATATTTTACATTGAAGATATAACCGTAAAACAGCCGTAAAATGGCCATTTCGTCGAGTATAAGCTGAAGATTTATATTTACCTTTCTCTTTCAGCAGACAAAGATATCGATGAAGGGGCAAGCTCGGATTCAGGAGACAGGCCAAAGTTTCGCCGCAATAGGACAACTTTTAGTCCGGAGCAGCTCGAAGTCCTAGAAGAGGAATTCGAGAAAACGCACTACCCTTGCGTCAGCACCCGCGAAAGATTAGCAGCCAAAACTAATTTGTCGGAAGCCAGAGTACAGGTAAGGAAATGACGTTTTTATGTTCTAAGACAAACAGTTATTATTATTATTCCGTTAGGATCATACTTCTTTGTTCTACATACAGCATAATCTTGACTATTTGAGTTTTTTTAATGTGTTGTTAATACACTGTATCCCCAAAAGTCTTTACCCGGCCTCCATTTTTCTCAATCGTTTGTAGTAGATATATACTTCCGATTGCAAAAATGTTTTAAATGATGAAAAGATACGTGTTTCATATTTTTAAATTTAAAAAAGAAACATTAAGTTTATACAAATAACAAAAACCAGCTATGCTGACATTTCCGATATTTAAACTGAATGTTTTAAAATTTTATGATTTTATTCTCGACTATAATTCAAAACAAATCATTAATATTAAAACATATGTGTATGAAAATTATACATGCTTTCCTTTTTTAAACGATTTTATGTATTAGCAACATAATAAATAATTCATTATGATAAGTACTTTACGTACTAATTAGTAATATAATAAATGAAATACCACAGAACTAAGTACTTCACATATTCCAAATAAAATAAATGATACACCACTGAAATTCACTGAAACGGCGCCACATAAATTTGCGAAGTATTTACATGAAGGGTTTCTATTGCTAACAGCTGTAATTTTGCCTTTTCAGTTATTCTCTGAAATATCTACTACTTTTCGAATGCTCGGGCTTATACTGTGTATAAAAATTTCATTTTAAGAGCCTCTAATATTGCATTTCTTAAACAGAATAAGCCTCTGGCAAAATATTTTCTCTTGTCTCTTTTGTTATTTTTTACAACAGCAGTCACAAATGCTTATATTTTAAACTGAAACGTTTTAAGGAATCGCAGTTTCTAATAGTATGTAATTTTATTGTAAAAAAAATCCTAACTAAAACGAAGATTGCTTGCTTCGTTTAAATCTTATTTATATTTCTTTGTTACTCAGAATAGTAAAAAGGAATAGACATAAGAATTAAATGATAATACGTTTTTAAATAAAACAATAATTACGAAATTCACGAAAATTTAAGTCTGCGAAGTTAGTTGTTTATCAAAATTCATTTTACCTGCTAAAATTTAGAAAGTAATAAATTATTTCCCTTTAAATATAGAAATACAGAAAAAAAATAAAAAATGACGTCGATGCTTTTGGGTAGTTGTAAACACTTTAACATTTGAATCCAATTTTACGCATACTAATGTTAATAACATCCTGAGTGAATGTGTATGAATGATACATTTTTTCAGATTTGTATTCATGCTTACATGTTTTTATACGAATGTGTATTAAAATTAATAAATGTATAAGATATGAATGCCAAAATATATAAGTATAAAAATTCTTTTGCCTTTTTGACTATTCTTTCTTTAGCATAGTCAAAAATTGTTCATCATTAATGGTCATTCGAATTCAGGATTCTACTTTGAATTCCAGAGTTTGGATGTTTATTTTTTCATTATTATTATTTTAGAAAAGTTTCTGTTATAAAAAGAGATAATAAATTTTAAAAAATGTCTAAATTTAAATGCAAAACTCAAGTTTATGATTTTAGATTTTAAATACATTCTCTGCCATTTTCATTTATATTTGCTCAGGAAGAATGTTTTGACTACACGCAATTTTGAACACACAATTTGGAGAATCCACAAATTTTAGCTGACTAATTATTAGCAAACAAAGCAATTTATTGCCAAAACCTGACAAATGTCTTGCTATGTTAAGGATTACGTATTACGGTTGAACAAATCTTAAGATTTCCTCAAATCCAAATTCTAAACTCTTCTCTGATCTTTCGAATCTTTCATGTAAGGGTAAGGAGGAAAAAAAATAACTTTACTTAAAAGTTTTAAATTAAAGAAAACTTTGAAATCTGCTTTTAATGGAAAACAAATTTAAGAACACAGTTTTAAGAAATAAGCCTACATTTATTAAGAAAGCGTAAATGAAATTTGTAATTTATATTCTTGCATTTTTAACAGGATAAAAACACTTCATTAATAATTTAAATCATTTTACAAATGTACACATTCATTTTAAAAGATATATGGTATAACAGTATAGGGCGGCGGGCGAAATTATTTCAAAAATTAAAATAGATGAATACTAAATATGGAACGCTAAATTCTTTTCAGGAAATTAAAAAGAAGTCTAAGCGTTTATAAAAGCACATTGACAGTCCATCACTCGGGTCCTCCATATTGTTGACGCTGAACGAGGGGCTACTTGAAATTGCAACAAGTAGAGTTCTTTTCCTTTCTTTCATCCTATTTTTTCTTCCTAACGCTTTTATTTGACTTAATAATAAAATTTATCACTGATTTTTCCGAAGCTTTGAATTTACAGGTTTCACAAATTTTTAGATTAGGATTCGAAAACTACAGTTGACGACAATAATGCGGTAATTTTGAATTTTCAAATCTACAACACGTTTTTCATCCTTCATAGGATTTGAAGATTAGAATGTTGCATCCTTATTAATTATTAAATAAATGCTTTCAATAATATGTCCTCCTATAAATCATACACTGTCACATAGTCAGGCATTTAAAAAAATGCATTAAAAATCTGAAAGCTGACTTTGACGATTGCCCAAAAAGGCTGTTTCGAAGTTTAACATGGTTTGTCCGTAGAGATGATCACTAGAGTTTTCTCAGATGGAATAGGAATGAACCAACGGAAAATCATAACTCACATTTCGATACTTTCATTTAGTTTTGGACTAATAAATTTTCTATTAAAAGAAATCATATTTAACTGGATTTATTACAAAGATTTTAATCATATAATTATTTTAGAATTTTAGATATCTCAGTCCCATATAATGCAAACTTTTTTTTCCCTTGTAAAGTGCTAAAAATATTGCAGTTATGTGATACTTCAGGCCATACGGTGTTCAGTAAACGACAAAGAATTTTAAATTTCTCTCTTTTTAAAAATTTTAACTCTTTTTGATATTTCATATGCCAGAATCATTTTGAGTACAATATCACGGCCATGTAAAAATATGTTTTCCCTAGTTTACTGTTAAACAACAATTTATTTTTCTGCTCTACCGCTAGAGCTGACCATTACCGTTTCGGAAGCGATTTAAGATCATTATTAATGTACTGTAATGACCGAACTACTTCTGTTCCCTATTTTCTCTTTATGTACCAGTAATTACCTCTTAACGAGCCGCTATTAGTGACGTCAAGAACACCCGTGGGCGTGTTCAGATCGCTCTACGCCTATGGTAGAGACGAATAATGTCACGTGGGCACACAGATGTAGCGTTAAGTGGTCGCGCAAAGTTGCCCATGGCAACGTCAGTGTAACCAATGCAGATATGCTCACTTTTTTTGAAAAGGGGAGCTTTATTTGTCGAATTTTTTTTCTCTTTTTCTTCCAAGTTATTATATTTTTAACTTTGCCGGAAAATGGGAGCCCTGTGCTTTTGCCACGGTGGGCGGAGTTAATGTAAGTGATGTGTCTGTCTGTCCACATGTGTATTCGCCGGGCGGGGTGGTATCCCCGAAACGCATCGACCGTGTAGCTGCTTGCCTGCTTGCACTCAACTCAACTCCAATAGTTTATTCAGCAGTGGCGTTGCCAGATCCGCGTTTGGATTATTGGATTATTTTCGCAGGAACCGACGGAAAAAGAAAGGAGAAAAGAATGAAAGAAAAAAAATAGAGGATCACACAAAAGGAGAATGAATAATAATAATGATGATGACGATGAAAGCAGCAAAAGGGCGGATGAAAAAACCCACCTACAGTAAGGCGTACCTAATGCATATTATATACACAAAACGAAAGACCTTTTCCGCGTATTACAACGTACAGCTCAAACACTATGCTTCACAATATGAGAATCCATTATCGGATAGGCAATGATATAGCGAGCCTTCTTTTATTTTCTCTTTACTTTTTTGCTTTTTTCCCTTCTACGCTGTATTTGTTCTCTCTACCTTTTAGCCTTATGGAATTCCTGTTTCGGCCTGTATCAATAATTGTACAAATAAGTCTAAGCATATAATGCTCTCGTATGACGTGAAGGTTTCTGAATTTATGTATTATTTTCACCTTTGGATACTAGACTGAAAATTAATTTACGTGATAGCTAACCTGGAAATTTTTTCCTTTAGGTAACTTTTTCTGCGTCTGCAAATGAATTTTTATTTTGGATAAAATTAAATTACCAAATTCCTTTCTTTATAGGGTGTCATAGATCAAATGAGTTAAATTATTATTAATAGCGTTGGTATAAGTATTTAAGCATCTTTTTAAAGTAAAAGTGTAAGAAATGAGATTACTCTGCAGTTGTAACAGCGAACTATTAATATTTAATACATAATTTTTCATAATAATAAAAATAGTGATAAAATTTTTATTTAAAATAAAGAGCTCTATTTCTTTGTAAATTTCAATATATATGCATTTTTATTATTGTTTTAATTTATCTTGGACGTAAAATATCTGTTTCTATTTATTGTCGAACTAAAAATCTTCTCATTCTACATATTACGATGCTTTTTGCAAATGGTTTTTGTTAATTTCAATAGCCCCATTTAGCTAGTTTTCATTCTTTTAATTAAACTATGGTTAAAATAATTTATATGTATATGCGTGTGTATGTATGGGTGGATGCTTGTGGTACATGTGAACACAAAATTTTAATTTTAGTTCTTAGTCACTTTAACCTCACATTTAGTTAGGATATACACCCTTCTAAACTGCATCAGTTTTTACTACTTACTTAAATTTCAACATATTTTTAGTACCACCGTCAGCCAGTTTTAGTACTATTAGGGAACTTTTTAATTTAATTTTCGACCATCCTTAGTACCATTAGACAACTTTTTAAATGGCAGGTTGTTTAGGTTAAATATGTGGAATCTACTTAAAAATTCCAAAAAAGGTTGGAAATAGAAATGTGAGGGAAATATAAAGTTTTAAAAGAGATTTAATATTAATTTGTATCAGGGAACTGAATTCAAAGCAGTGTTATACACAACGTATATACCTTTACAAAACTATATATAAGTATAAAATTAAGGTCTAAAATGGTTTGCATTTAAACGATGCAAATACATTTGCAATGTCATGAGCCACACACACACATACATACAAAACAGACAAGCAAACAAAATTTCCGAGAAAATTTCTCAGAGGGTAATATTTCATTAGCGAATGTTTTATTAGTTTCAATACAGTAAATGAGGTTGCTAAACTCCTTTTCTAATGCTAATTGTTTTAAAGGAACGTTGGGATTGAGTACTGCTAAAATATAAGGCAGAAATAAATAAAAATAACTTTTGAATAATCTAATTCACACTCAGATTTGAATTTTGATAGAACTTGAGGTTTCATAAATTTAAGAAATGCGTTCTAGTACATTGGCTGCCATCAAGTAAATAATACAAGAGTAAGAAATTATTTTAAAAAAGAAGCATCTTTTCTGTTTTTCTCTTATGGTTCTCCTTCTGCAAGAATGCATTCAGTATTACGGATATTCATTGTAAGTGGGATCTTAATCCTATACGGTTTGAATTCATATCACTTGCAGGACATTAAATACGCAGCACAATTTAAATCAAATATTCGGGGAATGTTTATTGTGTTTTAGTATGTAATTTAAATCTTTACTTACGCATGATATCTATGAAAAATTAAGCTGAATTCTGAATACTTAGATCGGTGGTACATATTTGCTGAGAATCACCGGCGGCGAATTTCGTAAATGCACATAACTATGGCAACTATGGGACGGGCTTCTAAAATGGACCAATAGATTTCAACAGCAAAATTCGTTTACGGGATGTTTCATAAAAAAGGAGACTAAGAATTTATTTCCTGAAGTTCTAAAAAGTACCTAATATGTATGCATATACTCTATAAATTCAGTTAATCAGATACTGAAATATTTTTATTCGTCCCTGTACTTTTAGTTATTTTACACATAAAATTAATTTTCATTTTTCGCAACATTTCCTCGTCGGTTACAAATAGGCGGCAAAATTCTCACGAAATAATAAAATTTGGCAGTTGATTTCGAGAAATAGCTATTGTAAATCCACTGGCCTAATAAAGGAAGCCCCTCCCACGATTTCTATAACTATGTGCCATTACAAATTCATTCACACTTAACACTCATGGCAGCGAATGTATTAGACTATTTTCAAAGCTGTAATCTTAGTTTCACTGTATATGTTTTTATTTGCATTTTATATTTTGATCTTAACTATGGATTTAATTTAAGGTATGTAATAAGTATTAAATCTATACTTGGGGCAAAACTAACCTGAAGACGTAAGGAAAGGTATATAAGTGTTAGATAATATACTCTATAAAGATATTTTAGCAGAAAATCATCATAAATTACAAGAAATCATTAAGAGCACTGCAATCAGATGAGAGCAACTAATACATGATTATTAAAATTTTAACCTGTTTCATTAATTAACTTATATTTTCACACCAGAACAATATCCACCAATAAATATATTTCCTTTCAGTTCGCTTTCTTTGTGCTTGATTCCCGTCAATTCACTTATTTTCATTTATGAATTGATTGTTTTATTACTTCCATGCTTCGGAAATTGTAATAAAGAGTTAACTCACGAAATCTATTAGCGTGTGGATTCTATATGTTTGTTGTTTGGAATCTTATTGTAAGTCTGATATGAAACAGCCCCCTACCCTCCCTTTTGAATGAAGAAAGGGAGAACAGGAAAGAAAAATATGATTGTGTTTTTTTCCAATGGAAGTCACTTGCCTATAACGGCAATAGCCACTCCTAAGGCCAGAAGTGGCGGCCATTTTATTGTGAAGGCTCCTAATAGGCGGCAATCGTTACCTCCTGTGAAGGGACAGACAATTTTATATCTACGCCTTTTCCGGGACCTTCAGGTATCGCAGTCAGGCTCCTCTAACCACTATACCGTGTGGGCGGCGCAAAAGATGATTGTAAACCAGTAAATTTAGTCTGCGTCGAATGTGAGCTTTACATTGGAAGTTATAAAATACAATAAATATCCAAACACTGCACATCATTCTCTGAAATAATGATAACGCCAAGAGGAAAACATAGCAAATCGTTCGATAAGTATTCTCAGGTTATCTTTGCCCCGATTTAGTAAAGAAATTAATTGATAAGCTTTTTGTGAAACTGTAAAGTGCCTGTAGTATTTAATTTAACGTCCTCTGTAATGGAGGGTTTAAAATGTGCTCATGTGTGAATGCGAGTGACTGCTTCTTCTTCTTGAAGTCAGTTTATGTTGGTTGTTTGAAACAGGTATGGTTTTCTAACAGACGAGCAAAATGGCGACGCCATCAACGCATGAATATGATGAAGCCGGTGAATGGGGCCGTCCCACCTACATCTCCGACCCCAAGCCTAAGCCCGGTGCCGTCCCCAGAACCAGTGGCGCCCTCTAGTCAACCTCAACCTCCAAGACTCATGGATCACCTACCCAAGATGGGAGGCGAGAATTCCGCTTTTACTCCAGCTGCTAGGCAACCCTCTTCTTCACCGTCTTCGGAATGATTCATCCTTCTCTTCACCATCACTATCTGCATCTTCCCCTGCTGTGTGGATCATCTGCACCAAAAACTTTCCTCACTAAAATCTTCATGAATCGTTGACACAAGTTCGGACAAATGTACTTTCTACTTTCATATGTTCTTTCCTGAAAGACTAAACTCGATGACATCACTCATCGCTGTCAGCGGCTGTTCTCTTTCGAAGACTGTAAATCGAAAATCTTTAAATTATGAAGATACAGCCGAAGTATTTGGTTTGTGGTCACAAGTCTGGTGTTATCTTTATTTCTTTTGTTGTTTTTTTAAAACACTTCATGATAAAAGAAAAGGAAGATTTAGAAAAAGACATTTAAATGTACATTGTGTAGTACCATTTACTCCTGTGACATAATTTTATGAATTGTTTTAAACTTTGATTCGAATTATAACACGCAGTTTTACAAATATTCTTTTATTTACGAATTTTTTGTTAAAATTCTTACTTCTGTTTTTAAACTTAAAATATTCTTGTTTGTTTTAAATTTGTTAAACAGCACTGCGTTAAGTAAAGAAAGAAAACGAAAACGAGGTATTAGTGATTCTTACTCGAGATTTCGGGATTCTGTGTTGATTTTTACATTTCACTGTGAATCTTAAAACTACTTAGAAATTAAACTTTTGTTGTCTTACCTTGAACATTATGAATAAAAAAATTACAGATGACTTTGCAGTTCATGTTTTGTGATCATGTGCTGCAAGCTTAAGACTTTAATTTTTGATGTAATTTTATGTAAAACGTACAGATTCGTGAATTGGGTGTAATGCCGATTATATGTAAAGCAACTAAAAATAGTTTCGTTAACATAGGTATATAAGCGCCATATATTAGCAAAAGTTTTAAAATTGAATATTTTAAATTGAAATATAAATTGAAATCAAAAATCTAAAATCGTTATAATAAAAATTATAAATATGTGCAGTATATTCTGTTGGAATTTCTGTAAAAACAAAGCAATTATTCTAATTCGCTTCCTAACAAATCTCTCTTTTTTTTTTTTTTTTTTTTTTTTTTTTTTTTTTGTAAATTTTCATAAAAAAAAAAAGAAGAAATAATCTTTGATTTTGAATAAAAATGCGTAATAACGTTTAAAACAATGCAATGAACAAAAATTAATTGCTTGATAAGCAAAATATTTTCTTTCTAGAAAATACGTTGCAAATTATTAAAAATAAATTAAACCTTTGTTTTCAAATTAAAAATTAAATTTAATTAAACACAAAATTGTACTAAGTGTTATGATTTTTAGTTAGCGAATCGTATTACATTATTAATCTCATTTTGAAATTTTAAACCGTTTTTTTCTTTTGTATTTATCTTAACTCTGTATTTATATTATTCGTAATCATTTAAACATCCAACTATTTATATTTATGAGTTAAATATTTTGTAAATGTTGTGAGAATGTTTCACTGAATTCATCTTCATTATGAAAGGCAGATAATACTGTTAAAACATATTAAATACATTGTAAAAATATACGAGAACAGCCTTGTGGCGTTTCAATGAATTAACAAGTGAGAGTAAGAAATCATCTGTAGACCCTACAGAGATAAACTATGAACCAATTTTGGTCTTTGAGTTCCAAAATCTGGGGGACTGTGTAATACCCAGTATGTGTTATTTTTAGAGAAGCGACTTTTACAAAATGTTCATTATGTGCATGAGTCCTTGAAATTGCTCCATGTTTGTATTTAGTAAACAGTTTTTCAGCATATTGTTCTGTTTTATTCGCATTTTGTTAGCAATCATTGTTTTGTATGTGTCTTGTGTGAAATATAATTTATCTCCTTTTTTCTTTAAAAAAAGAGTTTGTGTTTTTTTCCCTCCTAAACATTCATTAATCTGCTCATTGTAATTCATCATAAGACTTCATTCAATTCATACACGGTAGGGTTAATCAGACATCAATATTATATTTCTGAGAATTTAACGTTTTATTTATTAAATTTAACGTTTTATTTATTCTTATGAAAAAGCCTAAATTTCTAGCACGAAAAATAATAATCATGAAACAATAAACCTTGCAGTATTGATTCTTTATGAAAGGGTGATAAATAGATAGAAAACACCAAATTACTTCATGGTGCAATAATACTACCCTGTAACAAAATGTACATTTCGAAATATATTCTTAAATGTTTTAACAGTAAATATAAACTTTGTACACAAATACGGAATAACACAGAAGATGGCGAATTTCTTAATTTAGGAAGTGGTCAAGTTTTTGACAAAGCTGCGAAATGCATCTGGTACTTGACGTGAAACCCATAATTTTTTTCCCCCAGTGAGGAGCACTAACCATTATAGGCATTGGCCATTACTGAGGCCTTAAGGGATGATCACTTTATTGTGGAGGCACCTAATAGGTGGGCTACTGTTGTCTGCTATAAAGGGAGAGCCAATTTACATCCATACGTTCTCTGGAACTATAATCAGGGCCCTTCGATACTGCAGTCAGAGTCACTAACCACTTTCCCAATTTAAAAACCCATAAAGTATTTGGTAATATAATGAAACATAGGAAGGCTCTAACATTATAAAAAATAAAAAGCAGTATCCTTAATTTATATTGCATGCATTGTTGCATGCGTACGGGTTCGTAATAGATTGAATGTATAGGTCCGATTATAGATTAATAAAATTTATTTTTATCAAATAAAGTATTTTAGAGCTCTGGAATTTCCCACAGAATATTCGTACAAGTGTTCAAAGTATCATGCAGTACAATCAGTAGTTACATTTCAAACTTCTAAGAACATTAAACACAACGCAATGCAAAGCGCATCTAAAGAGAAAGCTTGTCCGATCTCAGGTTGAATTAACAACTCGAAAAAATAACAACAACGCCTAAATAAGAGCAGATGCTCTCTCTCCGGCTTTACATAGCTTTCACCCGGCCGCCGAGATTTTTCTATCTCGAAATTACCAGAAAACAATATGAGAGTCGAATTACTGATACAAATACGAATTAGTGATAGTGATCCTTTATTCAAGTACAATGTCTATTATGGCAATACAGTAACTTTATCAAAATGTCGCCAAATTTTGTGACTTTTGGCGATTTCTTGCCGAATTTGGCAACAAAATAATTTATTTAAAATAATAAATTTGGCGACAAAATTATTGTCAGCTGGGCGATAAATTACCGAGATACCCATTTATTGTGTTAAATGGACTTGCTCCTGTGTTCTTATTGTTCCGCCATAGCTTCTATCTTTAGATTTTTCACGTTACATCACACAGAAAATACAGCAATTTCTGAAATGAAACTTCCAAATATTGTGCAACACTTTATGTTATTATTTACTTTACACATTATGTTATTATTTACTATTTGTGCGCAGTAATGAACACTTTATGTTATTAGTTACTTTATATTATCCTGCAAAAGTGTATTGGTTTTTAAAATCCTTTTTAACTCACACTCTAGTTTACTCCTACAATAATAACTTACTACTAAATCCTTTTTTAAAATTTCTAATAAGTTCTCTTTCCTTGCACATTCCTTCGCGTTTTAAATGGTTAGCATGTCCGACTGGCAAACGGGAGGTCCGATATTCGAATCCTGGAGAAGGCATAGCATGTTTCTCATGTTCTGCATTGATGTTAACTAGTGACTCTACCTATATTTGCGATCAATGATTTTAGTCACTTTTTTATGATTATATAATCTTTTTCTGAACTACTTCGTAGTATATTTTCCTTTCTGAAAACTATGACTCATGAACTTTATTCAGACTAACACAATCGGCTCTGTTAAGTCTTTTCAAAAAGCTGCAAATCAAGAACTCTGATGGAACTGTGATTACTGTGTAGAGACATTAGGTAATTTTTGGAACCAGGCAAGATGGAAAATCAGCAAACGCCTTTGCCGGGAATCGAACCACGGACCTCTGTAATACCGGCCCAGCGTGCAGAACCACTACTCCACGAAGGCACGCTAGGAAAGCGAGAGAAATACCTTATAACTGAATAGAGATTTATAGATTCATGAATAAGAATAAGCATACTAAGCTGAATATTAATATGCAAGGATAAAAACTATGTTACTAATTCTATGTGAATAACTTATTTTTGTGCTAATGCTTTATTAACTAATGCTTTGTGAATAACTTACTTTTGAAATTTAAGTTTAGAAAAATGAATGCTTTTAAAGAATATTTTTGAGGACTAATTAAGCAAAATAAAACAATCAATATTTAATGCTAATTAATATCTAAAAGTAGAAGTGCCGGAGCCCTATGGAAGACATCCAGGAAAGAGCAAACAAGAGTAAATAAATAAATAAAATGGCTATTATTAATATCATTAATAATTTTAAAATTAAGTAGTTAATGAGTGTCAAATTAAAATTAATAATTATTTAATTGATACTAAAATCAATATTTATTAATTATTATTGAAAATGCATAATGTATCAATTGCCATTATAATATAATATATAATATAATGATATAATTAATTATATTGCATATAATTGCAATGTATGCAATATATGCAATGCATAATGTATGCAATATATGCAATGCATCAATAAGGTTTGTTATCAAACAATTATTGTTAAGGTTACGCTCTCTTTGAGCTCGCAGTCTACCTGCCTCCTGTTGCGTTCACTCTGGAGAGACATTAGGTATATTTTTGGAAGCAGGAGAAATGAAAAATGAGCAACGCCTTCGCCGGGAATCGAATCACGGACCTCTGAATACGTGCCCAACGTGCAGACCACCACACCACGAAGGCATGCTAAGAAGGCGGGAAAAATACCTTATAACTCCTGCTAGCTTTATTATTAAGTACTATTTTCTTCCATATTAATGGTATAAAATAGCATTTCTTTAAACATGTTATTAAGAAGAGAAGATTGCTTATAAATGATTCCCTTTTTTTTCCGATGATGGGCAGTATAATTTTGTAATAGAGGATATTAATCAAAGCGATCAGGATTTTATCTACCGACTGAAAGGAACAATACAATAAACAATAATGCAACGTAATATAATTTTCAATTTTTTAAAAGTATTGCGAACTTAAGCAAATGTTATTTTTAACATCGTCTAAAGTCATTAGACACACGCGCACACAGATATATACATTCAAGGTATTTAACAGATAAACAAAGTCAGGATATTTCTTTTACGAATCGCTGGTTGCGTTAGAGCTGCTATTTCTCGACAGTCACCGCCCTGCAGCAGCAGGGGATCTCTTTAAATGAAGGGTGGAAGTTGCGGTTGTCAAGTCGTTAATGCATTGAACAAACAGAGTTCTCCCGGAAGAGAAAGGCGGACCAAATGAAGAGGTCAATTTTTAACGAAGTCATCACGGTGACGAATGGACCTGTCCACGGGGCGAGCAAGAGGTGCAAAAGAACGACCTTAACGAGGTCGTAACTCAGTAAATTACACCACTAGGCGCGCGTGAGGGCATCCGGTTGTGAGACATTCCCCACTCTCGAAGAGCCCTTCCTGTCGTGACACCGCAACCATCCCGTGGGAGACAGACACTTAATAGGACAGAAGTAAATAATCAAAGGGGTACTAATTGTACACATCTCTGGTTTTTGATTCCTCTCGTTAAGAAGAGGTTTGGAAATGCTTTACATTTCCTCCACATCACGAGAGCTTGCAAAAGACTTAATCCAGAGCGACGGAAATTTGGAATCAAGTTCTGGTTTATAGTTCCGGTTGCAGTTAGTTTTAAGCATTCGTGCACTTCTTAAAAAAACGACTGCATATTACAGTACAACTGTGTTGCTGAAATTAAACAAAAGGTTTACTATGATGTGAAATCGGCAACATATGAAGTACAAATGTGATTAATTAAATGCAAAATACACGCACCAAATACGAATTTTAGAAACGAGAAGATTCAAGCTATTTTTCAAGCTAATTTCGGCAAGAAATAAACTTAAAATGTTCCGGGCCCTAAACTTTACCTTTTCCTACATAAGCGGGGAAAAAAATTAAAAAAAAATTTTTAATTAAAAAAAATCATAAAAAAAACTTAAAGAGTTCAGATTTTAACAAGCCCCAAAAGGATTTGTTACTTTTTTTATACTCTCGCTGAGCCGCAATCTACCAGTCTGATGTCGCATTCACTCCTGCTAGATTTATTATTACTAGTTTCTTCGCACGTACGCCACATACGATTAAATAGAAAAATTATAAAAGCTTTAAAACAACATAGCAGCATATGTTTAAAATTTCAGAGGAAGTGTTAAGTGTAGACATATGTTTTTCCATTTTTCTCAGTTTATTATATTAATCTTCACTTTTAGTAACATGGCTTACAAACCTTTTTAGTGAGTCTTTTTATTATTAACGTTTTGTGTGTTAATTTTATTTATTAGATATCTCATTCTTCCCACTTAAGTCACATAAACATCCATTCAATAACAAAATCACAAAAATATTTATAAATAACGTATCTTTAGAAATTCCGACAGACAGTTTCGTATACTGGAGATAAAAAACATTTTATTACGAACAGTGTTGCCACTACTTGCTTTCACACAGTTGAGTTTGTTAATCAAAAATTCATTAAAATTTTACAGAATATGAACTATAAAATTCGAAATTCAAAATTCGGGCTTCCTGGTGCACACGTTTGGATGGAGGGCAAAGTTATTCAAAGTGTCATGGTTCTACGCACCATCGTTGTTTTACAATGCGAGGAACATACATACATATATGCATATTCGTAATTATTTAATTTTTTTAAAGATAATACAGGGTGACAGTATTTGGTGGCAGAAGTTTAAAAAGTGATTCGCCGTTTATAGTGGAAGACGCAAAATACGGTTTCGAGA